GCCGCTTGTTTCTCCGAAACACTCTGCCGTGCTGGATCGCAAGTAACTGCACTGTGTGGCCCTGGGTGCAACCGTGTTCGCGGTCAAGAGCAGAGCAACCGCCGACGCGACGTGCACACGCGCAATTAATTTCTGTGTGCGGGGGCGCTAATGGTCCTGGGAGTCGCAAGCGCGACGTAGGACGTGGGAGCGGAGCGCCTCGAAAGCGAAGAGTCCCCCCCCCCCTCTTCACGTTCATCGCCTCCTCCGCCCCGCCCCGCCCCGCCGCCGCCCGCCCGCCCGCCCCGCCCGCCCGCCCTGACGTCCGCGCACGAAACAAAGCCACGAGCTGCAGGAAATTGCCCGGGAAGACTGAGACGGCGGGCGCTGGAATTATGCAGCGACGCACTTTGCCGTCTCCCGTTCGCGCCGCGCGAATATTAGCTTTCCATAACGAACTCTCTCCGGAGGCGGAGAAAATTACAACAAAAAAAAATACGCGGCAAAAAAAAAATGTTCATAACGGCGCCGGGGAGGAGAGCGAGGGCGGCGTAGTGGCCGTAATTGAAAATTCGATTACAGAGCCGCGACGGAACTGGAAGCGAACCGAGAGTCGGCGCTGACGACGTCGCGACCGCCCCGCCGCCGCGCCCCGCCCGCCGCCACGCCACGCCACGCACGCACGCCACGCCACGCCTGCGCTCGCACGGGCGGCGATGGACGTCTGCAGGGTCTGTCGAAGGGCGCTGGAGCGGGTGGCGGAAAAGAGCGAACGTCAGCCGCTGGCGGCGCCGGTGTTGAAAGGCATGAGGGATGAGAAATATGGAATACGAGAATTGGATCAAGGAAGATTCTGGAGCCTCGCGTAGCTCTCCGTTCCGGAACATCACTGGCTACCCAGTGCTGTGATTCCCGTTTATTATGGGAATTTCGTTTCTCAGCTCTGTCCATAACCGCAAAATAAAATTGCGAGATTCGAACAAATGTATTGCCGTAAAAATATCCTTACGCACTTGATGAGCCGGTGTCGAAGATTGGCTGCAGAGACAATTTGAGAATTAGAAATGTGACTAAATCATTCAGTTGTCTTTCCTGTCTCTACCTACCTTCTTCTAATTCGTGACATTCGTTATTTATCATTTTGTCCTGTATGGTCGATCTAAATTTACACAAGTTTCGACATACTAGAGCCGTTTGAAGTATTCCGTCCACTTAGGATGACAATGTTATGGGTGCCTCAGATATAAATAATTTATTATAATAATAATAACAATTTTGAAGCCCTTCCGTTCACGTCCTTAATTGCCATTTGAATGGAAATCGCACATTTTATCGTGTTAAGCTATATCATTCTGAATATTCGGGAATTGTATTACTTTTACGGAAAACGGCGAGGGGTTTTGAGATGAAAGGGGAACCCGAGGAATGAAGGAGTAGCGAGGGTTTCCTGGAAGAGAATCCGTCTTGTAGAATGATAGAGCGAGTCTGGTGTGGGGAGTGCTGGTGCGGGTGCGGGGTCGGCGAGAGTGTAAGCGAGCGCGAAAGGGCGGCGCCCTGGATTAGGAGGGGGCAGAGAGGAACGTTGCGGTCTTCGCCTGCGCCGCTGCGGGGCTTCGGCCGGCGACACGACGCAGGAAGGTCAGCAGCCTCGCACGCCTGGGGCGGGGCGGAACGGAATGGTCCTGGCGGGGCGCGGCGGGCCAGCCCGGATGTGACGCGAGGCCCCCAAGAGATGGGGGACCGCCCATTGAGGGCTGGGGGCACTTGTTGGCGCCGCTCCCCTCGCTCAAGAGGGCTGTTTACCCGCGGTTGACCGCGTGGGTGAACACGCTGTCAACGAGAAGTCGTGTGGCTTCGCATCGCACGCCCTTGTAGCGATTGTCATGCACGCGCGAAGCTGTTGCCCCTTTACCAGCGTCTGGAATGCTGGCGAAGGGCTTTCGTCAATTTTTAAACGCATGTATAAAATGAAAATTCATGGTTTTACTCAACTAATGCCGCGTTTCGCTGATTATTTCCTGTTCTAACTTCACCTTGTTTTGTATGAACGCTTAATGTAGGACTTGCAATTAGAATTATTGCCTAAAACGTTTTTGTGTAAGAAAAACAGTTACTTTGGCGATTGTCGCCGCCCTACCCAAATCAGGACTTTAAAAAAAATCTTGTTTTGCATTAGGCGAGTTTGTAACAGTTCACCCCTCATTAATGAATAGAAAAATGCTCGGAATGGATTGTAAAATATATCTTGGTCACATAAATTTTGAAATTGCCTTTATTCGACAATATTACGTTTGTCAATGCGAAACGGTACTTTTTATCTAGTCGCCCTTGGAGGGATCTTTTTCACTTGGTCGCGCCGTATCCCAACATTGACCGCAGTATCAACGATGGGAGAGTGTTAGGCGCTTTTAGGCGTTTTTTGCAAGCCCGATTCCACTTCAGTCGCATTCCAGTGTTTTGCAATAAGTCCTGTTCTCCTAGTGTTCCGCCTTCCCTTTTTATAGAGAATTTGTGGGGTAGGAGAAATGGTCCTATACCGTGGCCACGCGAACTAATACTGCAATAAAGTCGGAAGAACGAAGCGGCTCAGGGCGCGCATTGACCCCCTCCCGCCCGGGAGGGCTATTTGCGTCGCGCTGCATTCCGCTGCGACAGCGACCTCTCTCGCGGTGAATTGTCGCCCCGCAAAGGTCCCGAGTTCGAGCCCGTCGCTTTGCCAACAGTGCCCGCTCCCCGGGCAGACCCTTTTGGGTTCCGTTTGGAGCTCGAGGCGGGCAGGCCGGGGTACTGGGCAGGTAGCCAGCGCTAGTCGATCATTATTGTTTATTTTTAATTTGTAGCATGGCTGGTTCTGTTCTGATCTTCGCTTGCAGGCGAATCAGTTTATCACTTGAGATCTCTCGATCAAGTGCTATGATTTGGTTACGCGCCTTTCGCAGCTCTAGAGACAATGTGATGATGAGTACAGTCGCCAACATCGTCTCGGAAGTCAACGCCATCGTGCCTTGTCGAATCTTGTAGCGAAAAGAGAAGTATCCAGGACAATTAATGGTTTTAGAATTTGACTTAATACGCGGCCGTTTTAAACGTAAGGATCTTTTACGTGCTACTAATTGCTAACAAAAAACAACACGCCCTCCCAAGGCAAATTATTAGTACATTGAAAAAAAAACTGTTTAAATGCTGTTTTCCATTTCGAATAAACAGCTCTGTCTTCCATTGAAAATGAGTGTGCCATTGACTGATGTTAAGGTAACATAATTTTTACGCCTTTCAATTCAGTCAAACCTTAAATGGAACGTCCATTTAAATAAATTGAACACTAAATTAAGTTCTATATGTTAAGCTTTCAAAATTATTTCAAAATGTCAGCCTCCATACTGCTCGTCTATAATTCGCGAATGTTCATTACTGCCTGAGATATGACATAATATTCTGTGGAAATAGATCTTACAGCTCGCAAACCTTTAGATTAAAAAAATGAATTGCAGGAATAATAAGCATATCCTGCCCACGTGATTCTTGTAAGCCTCTTTATTAATCTAGGCAACTAATTAATTATCATTACCTTGTCATTTGATATATGAATCAGTGGTTTTTGTCAAAAATGACTTACTGAAGGGCGGGAATATATTTTCAACAACCGCTGATATTTGTAATTACAACACTCGACGTACTAATCATCAGGTGACAGTATCAACATTTCACTACAAAAAATTGACATAATTCATGTACATTATTTTACAACACCTTGCCAAATGACATTAAACGATTAAATTCGACACAAAAGTTTGTCTCAAGTAAAATCTATTCTGTTGCAAAACTGTTTCTATACAATTAGACACGATACCGAGCATCCAAAAGGAAAGAAATATGAATTTTAACAATGACATTTAATGTATTATATACCATGTGGATTGTATAATTGTAAAGAACCTGTAACCTGCTGAAGTATTGTACTTCAGCTTCTGGGTCAATGTCCCCCATCTCGATAAGGTTTTCGTCCAGTTTCCCTGATTCTCGAGCAAATGCTAAGATGGCCCCTTGTTTTGCTTCTGCGCGTAAATGTAACTTCAAATTAACTTCTCCCCATAGCACGTCACACGCAGTTTTTAACTGTTAAACTGTTTAACTGTTTGACGTTAAAAAAATTAGGCATTGCGGGGGTTATAAAAAGGCCAAAAAGCTTGTTTCTTGCTGTGTGTCAAGAAAGGTTTGCTGGTTTACATTATTTTGTTGTTCGTAAGTGTATATAATGTATTGATTCAAAACATGTCACTGAATACATTGAGCATCATATTCTAATTTTTGCAAAGTGATGTGTATTAATTTAGAGACGCCGCTCTTTGTTGCGGGTACCTCCTATTAGCCCCTTAAATTTCACAAATTGGATTATTTGTTTAATTTTTCTTTCTCGATGGAGTTCCTTTTTTTTAATGATAATCTAGGTGTAATGCTGTTTTAGCCAATCAGTAAACTCTTGTTTGTTCTGAAAGACCCAAATAAATTTTTATTTTTAGGCTACCTTAAAGGTGGTACCGCAGCAATGAATGTAATGTTCTGTCACGTGAAATAAAATGATGAATTTTATACATCGAAATTATCACGCGCGTGGGAAGGCTATATCTCTTAACATCAAAATAGGGACCTTCCTTTGATGTTAAGATATTGAATTATTTTGTTGCCGAACATATTTTGGAAGCTCTTATCGAAGGTCCACTTCACCACAGTAAATTTCGTGTAATGAAATGTTATTTTCCATTTTGAAGTCGGAATGGGTGTGTATTTCTGTCTTGTATGCATTCTTTTGCAACTTGTTAATTCCCGTTATTAGTTTTCATTAGCCATACATATATTTACAAGATTTTCTTGCTTTTAGCTTTTTGCTGCTGTGTATATACGACAAAACTAACACTTTGAAAGCATGGCGAAATTTCTAAAAAGCACAGAGAGGGAGTTTTGCGTCAGTAAAGTGTGTTTAGCTTTTAATTGAAAACATGCATTTTTTTTTATTGTTTCAGCACATGGTGCAAACGGGAATGGCGACCCCTTACGCGACGCAGTACCCACAGAACGGGGAGGCGGGTCCGCCCAAGACGGAACCTGGGAAAGAAGGTCCTCCGGTCGCTGTCCCCCCATTTTCACCGCCCACAGTCACACCAAATGGTATTGAACAACAAACTGTCAGCATTGTAAGTATCCTGCATTTCTTTCTTTTATGCTAGATTAGTTATTCAGAGGTAGAATTTCGTGATAAAAAAAAGTTTTGTTTTGTTTTACTAAGTATTTCAGCACAAATTGCGCAACCGATTGCATAAATAAATTGTACTAATAATAAACCAAATAGCTATTTTCAAATAATTTGTACTTTTTACACGAACTTACTAAAGGTATGCATATTTACTCAAGATACCCAACTCTGAAATTCTCATATTACCTTGAAAGTTTGCATCTTGACTCGTGTACACTAAATAAATCTCTTGAAAACCTTTCATTTGAAGCAAGGAAGAAGAAAAAAATCAGAGAATAATAAAAAAAAGATAGCTTCTTTCAGCAAGCATGCAATAAAGGCCTTCATGGTTTAAGAACCAAAAATACTTATTAAATAATGTTCTTGTGATAGAAATTCCGACTATTTTCAAATGCTTTAATTTCTTGGAAGCTTGTGTTACAAACTAATAGGAAAGATTGGAAATTCAAATGACTGACGTACGTGAAAGGCGAGGAATATTATTCAACTAATGTTCCGTCACGTTTGATTACGAACCCGTATTTATTGCTTTCTTTCGATGCAGTTTTCGAACATAATTAAGAGGAAAGATAGAAGCTGAAAGCGAGTAATCCAGGCAATCGGTGCGTGAAGGCCAAAACGTGATGTTTATGCTGTGGATCAGTTCGGCACGGATATCATCGCTGGCTCCTAAAGGTATCGCGTTGAAATCACGTTTCTCACACGCTGGAGGCATATAACAATTTCCAGACGCCCACGTCGGAACGCAAATCACCCCTACGTAAGAGATGTCACGACTATGCAGCAGGCCGCAGCTTTTGAGTTGGTTGAAACCTTTGGGTTGGAAGAATATTAAGAAGTACAGCCTACTTTTTTTCGACGTTAAGGTTCATTACGCGCTGATTGCCAGCAATATACAGTGGACATTACATTTCTCCTGCAGGGGGGACGGGAAAAATCCAAAAACCTATTATTTTCAAAAACATCTATTTATCAGGTTACTAAGTAATAACATAGTAAATAAGCATGCATTTTCAACACATTTCCATTTCCACTAGAGTTCAAGTGCTTTTAAGTCACGCATTTATGGTGTATTTTCAATTGTAGATATGTTAGTGAAATTAACACTTTCAATAATGGCCGGCGCTAGGTTATTTTGCGCCTCGGGCAAAATAAGACGTTTGTGCCCCCCTCCATATAATATAATAACAAAAATGCGCCGATCCCTAGATAATGAATACTTAATTTAGAAAAATAATGTGCACACATACATATTATTGTTCAAAATATAAACGTAAATGCAATAATCTGAACTAAAATAAATTCGATAATTATGGAAACAATGATAAATTCTGCATATCGAAGCTCTCTTCTTACAATAAATAAATAAAAAAATTGTGTAAAGACAAATACTACTCGACCGATTTCGCTGAAAGTTTCGAACTTTGTTCTGAGTGAGAGTAAAGAGTGGTTTGAATTAAATCGGGCATGTGGGACCTTTTTGATGATTTATTAGTTTATGACGACTCATGCGCCCCTGAACTGTACGCAACCCATCACACAGTCAAGGATTAAGCGCGTATTCACTGCATACGGGAATTCAGACCCTGCGATTGTGAAATATTAGCCAAACGTATTGCTTGAATCTCGGTCAAGTAAATTACTTTTCTCCACGATAGAAAATGCATGCCCAAATTTGGGGGAGAAAGTCTTAACAAGAGGATACTTAACAATGTCCAAAACAGGACATAGAACAAACCCGTATTTGCGAGAAAATCTCGGATCTATTAAAATTTTTGCGCAGCAAGTAATACTTGATTAACAATCACGTGCCCAGTATAGTGTTGTGTGTGCACTGTAATAACGAAGCATTGTCGAGTTCACTAGTTCTAAATAATTGGAAGACGTATTGGGCTAATTCACATTACAGTGAAAACCGGTTTGATATTGTTTTGATTTTACGTTTATTCGAACGTTTCGTAAATCACTGTTTTATCCCTTGAGGTTCACTGCTATCAATGGTTACTAGGAAGATTTTTCTAATTGTCCGTAAATGCTACAGATGCAAGATCAATTCAAAATTAGTCTACTGTGTGTGTGTGTGTGTGTATTACACAATATACATTGAGAAAAAATCTTATTATTATTATTATTATTATTATTATTATTATTATTATTATTATTATTATTATTATTATTTACTGAACTTGAGGTAGAACTCGAAAGCTAAAATATTTTATTAATAACTCGGATAGTTACAGAATTTTAATATTCTGCCGTCAATAGTTATATTAAAATTAAGTAGTCTACATTTTAAGCAAATATGTACTCCAAAAAGTACAGTTTGAACCGGGCGCTTTATGTTGCCCAGGAATTGATTCTGTATCACTGACGATCCGGGTATTTTGCTTCAGAATTATTTATGCTTTAATGTAATATTGCTATTTCAGGAGATACATTGGCCTCTCAGCTACGCCCAGGGCTAGTAAAGCGCGCCCTCACCCCCCGTAAAAACTCATCGCATGGACTTTTCTTTAGAGAAAGAGATTTCAAGGAGTGTTTACGTTAAAATGTCTCAAACGTATCTCTGTATGTTCGAACTCGTATGCCGGATGTTCACTTGTCGAGCTTCCCCGAACAATAATGCCGTGGGGGGGGGGGTCCATGACCACTACCCTTCAAAAACCTACTGGATGGCATTTTTAACATTCTCAAACATGCTTCAAAAATGTCCATTCTGTTGTTATTCATAAACTAGTAGCTTCCATTAGCAAAAATGCTGCTAAACTAAACCACACATTTCTTTTCCCATACGTAGCACGCACGCTACTTAAGAACACGAAAAATACTGTCGTATTTCACTGCAATAAATTACATGTAACACTAATACAACAATAGAGCGTGTATACATACACAGTTTAACAGTTCTTTACAAATCAAGAATATAAAAAATGTTGCAACTTTTGACTGCCTACATATGAATCGCCATTGTATTTAATAAGAGAAGTTCTCTTCCTTGGAGCCTGGCTGTCTAATGACGCAAGCTGTATCGTAAGTAGTTCCGCACAAAGTGAGAATTCAGCCTATACGTCTAGTATGAGAATAAGAAAAATAACACAATCAAATATTTGCATTTTCAGTCAAAATCAAAATGCTTTCATTGGTTTGGATTTATCCCGAAAACCTTGGTATGTAAGGAAACTGTAGAGACCTCTCGAATGACGGAAAGCTGCCCAGTTTTCTTTTCAACTTCTGATCGCATTGAAAATTACTAATAAGTGCGCTTCTATGCACTAAAAAAATAAAAATAGGTGGGCAAAAAAAGGCTCTTGAAAATCTAAAATTGCCATACAAAAGTTAAGGAAAGAGATTTAAATAGATACTAGCCATTTATTATTCTGATCTAAAAATTCAAGAGAGAAGGATAGCTCAACAGGAATGTCGTTTATCAAAATAACCCTATGACTTACGTATTATTATTATGGAAATGAATAACGGCTCTAAATTGCTTTAAATTCTCGAAAGTAAACTGTCAGGTGTATCCTGTTAAGTTTCTGAATGGAGTTTCTTAATATGGGCGAATCTCCTTCATTCTTATAAAAATACAAAATTTAAACGCGCACACGTTTCCCAAAACTCCCAACTTGCTAAACGAGAACCCTGGACCTGTGAAATGCATATATACAACTACTAGCCCCCTCAGATTTTTACACGTCTTTCAAAATACGAAAAGTACTTTCGTGGTAAAACATTTGATGTAAAGATCGTATCGTATCATAAATGATGCAATTTCCTTGCGTCATTCTCACAGAGTAATATCGGTATCCTTCAACTAGTCTACACTAAATTGAAAACAAATTAGGGGGTGTATATAATCTGCTCTTGCGATAACATATTAAGGAAACTTTTGTTTATTACAAATTAAGGTTTCCTTAACTCGATTTTTATTTTAAAAAATCAGCGTCTTTTATTTACACAATATTTAGTACAGAGTTCTTGGGTATCCAACGAAACCATATGGCGGGAGACTGCATAGTTTTATTTCAATTAATAATGTAAATTGTTTATTAATGAAATTATTCTAATTGAATGTAATGCGTTGTAATTATTATTAGTAGTAGTTGAACCTTTGCAATTTTGCACAAAAGAGCTGAAAAAAATTATCTCCGTAGAATCCCCGTAGAACCTCATGAGAAATGTGTTGCACAAAACGAGTTTGCATACTTCACAGGTGATAGTTCAACCCCTGTCAAGCGTCCTAAACCTAACCCTTAACCTTATTCTTATTCCTTCCCCATTCAGGCCGATGGGTAATGACCTAGAGATCGTGCGAGACGCGAGCGCGAAGACCTATCGGCGATTGCGTGATTTGATTACCCAGCGGCCGCTAGAGGGTGCTGGGTGATTAATAACGGAGGACTACTCCACGGTGTGCTCAACACTCTTTAAGCAGCTAGGAGACGCGTTGATTCTATATAGACGCAACTTTTTTTCTTTTTTTATCTGAAAGTACGTTGTTACAGTACATGGAAAACCCTGAGTTGATGTTGTTCAGTACTTATTCTCGAAGACCAATGAAGTTATGTGGTTTGCCGTTTTTGGAATAATATGGTAAAATCGCTATTCAGCTCGAACCCAGAGGTAAACATCTTACTGAAAACGATTGAAATATTGAATATATAATTTAAAAATATATGCCTATTTGCCAACTTTGAACACGTTTGTTGTAGTGAACTATGGCAGAAAAATTCTGGGTTTCACCGTAACTTAAAAATGTAAAGCATCACATATAATTACTATTACTTTGTGTGTGTGTGCGTGTGTGTGTTACAGGACGTGTCGGATAATTGTTGAACCTGGCAGGCACTGACTGACATTCTCATTTAGAATCAATCTTAGCCGTCATGTTTTTTAAACTTTAGTGTGTGTTTAGTAATAATTTAAGCCTCAATCTCTCCCCTAATTTTCAATTTTGCCGTCTTCGGCACTGAAGGCCCCACTCGAAGCGCACGGCTGCTCTAGAGCGCCCTGCGCGAAGCGAGCGGGCGCAGGAGGACGCAGCGTGGGGCGTCCTGCCTTCGCTCCTCGGCCGCATCCTCGCGGCGGTCAGGCGGGCGCGGGCTGCTTGGTACAGCTCCGCGACTCTCCGTGGGCCTCGTAATGAGGAAGTGGCCCATTGGGAAGCCAATTGCGTTGCGCTGCGCTGCCCTGCGGCCTCGGGCGAACGCCTGCTTCCACAGCTGCGACAGCAGCACGCCTTGGCCAAGCTGGGAGCGTTTCCATGGGCTTGAAATGCGATGAGCGACAAAGTAGTCTCAGTCTTAGCGATTCGAGAAAAATACAAAGAAAATATTATTGCAAAGTACAGAGGCCTGACTACGTTTTATGGGACCAGATTCGAAAAGTCGAAACGGGCTCCTCGTTACCGTTGGCATCTTTATTTGCAGTCGGCGGACGCCCTGAGTCGGGGTCCCGGTGCCGCGCACCCGTTGCAGTAGCTAGCCTAGCTACGCCTCTCGTAAAATAGCATACGTGTAGATGAGACTTCCGGTAGGAATTTAAATAAGTTACAATAACATGAAATATAATAAATCAAAACAACTGGTCATAAACCGTCCCACATTCCGTTCTGGGCCAGAGTAACTAATGTTTGGATAATTAGAAATATATTTCTATAAATAATTTTTCAATTCTGAGCCAGTTTTCAAAACTAAATAATGAGTCTGCATGTAGTCAGTGCCTTATTAGCATGGATTGAAGAAACTTTAGAGAGGAGTCTCTGGGTTGGTAGATACGGAAAAGTTTTCTCAGGCACTTTAGCACTTTGTGGCTTGTGAGTTGCTTAAACTGTTTTAAACAATGATAATTTTAAAAAAATTAATCAATAAAGTTTTGTGATACTGGACGTAAACGTGATATGGGAGTTGCCACTTACAAAAATTCCTGTTGTTTATGGTCATGAATACATCTCACATTGGTAATTATATTTTGGAAACAGACACTGCAGTAGAAAACGGAAGTAAGAAGAAAGTGGGGTCAATCATTTTATAATAATATATTTTTTCTTTGTATTGCATGATTTACAAACAGCCCCTTAAGCTGTTCCCTAAATAGCATTCAAATTTCTCTCAAAAACAGTTTTTTGTTTCTGTCTTTTTTTTTTTTTTTCCTTCTTCTTCTCTTTTCTTTCTTTTTTCTTGTCCTTTTTCTTATTATTTTCCTTCCTTCCCCCACATCATCATCATCATCATCAAATTCTTGTAATCATTTACTGTACTAATTCCAAAGAGGCAAAACACTATGTACTGTGAAATGATGTTTGAATAAGTAAAAATCAAAGGAACGTCAAACCTGGTTTCACTTTAATGTGAACTACTCCAATGAGTCTTCAAATTATTCAAAATATATCAGGGATTTGCAGGAATTTATATTTATAACAATAATAGATGTTAGCATATTCTGCAAAGTTGTGAACACTACCTCTTCATGGCAGGAATATATTGTGGCCTGTAATTCTTAACAGAGATAGGAAAAAAATAATTTCAATCTGTTTCAAACTTACAATTTTGTAAAATTTTCATTTTTAATAATGCTGGTAGGTGTGTATTAGGGTATATGTCAAGATTTTGTAAAGGGGTAAGTGACGTGTTATCTCCCTAAACAAATGATAGTATTATAGTAAAGCAATGTCCTGGCATACTAATTTTGGATAAAAATTTGAGTTGACCCCTTTTACCTGCGCACCTGCCATTATAAAACTCTCCCTTGAAATTTTTTCTCTACATTTGCATGCTAATTCCAACTTAAGACAGAAGTACTTGAAATTGAAGTCAAGTTCTGTTTCAGCAAACAGAACCTGAAGCTGACACACCTGCTACACAGGGTGCCCCTCCTGTCACATGTACCACTGTAGCTCTGCCAGGGGAAGCTGGTAAGAACCAGCCAAAGAGACTGCATGTCTCAAATATTCCCTTCCGTTTCCGAGACCCAGATCTTAGGACCATGTTTGGGGTAAGTAAAGTTATCTTGAACTTTTATTTGCTAAATAATATGTAATTTAGAGGTTATGGAAGAAAATAATTATTTTCTCTTTTAGCCCACTTCTTCCTTTGTTTTCTTTCTGTCATCTGTTCTTGTTCTTTCCTAGCATTCCTTTTCTTGAAAACAATCAATTTTCCATTAGTAACTTTGATTAGTTAGAAATTAAAAAAATAATGAGTTTATTAATTTTAGAATTTTCAGTAAAAAAGAAATTGCAATTTATTCCAGAATTTTTATATTTATATATCTCTTTATATCTACCTTCTACTTATCAGTTTACTTTCCAATATTATTTTTCAAATAGTTTTGGATAAAATATTTTTATCTTTGTTTTTAACATAATTATGATGTTTTAAAGAGGATTTGTCTAACTTTGGATGACTTTGTTACAGCAATTTGGCCCAATTCTTGATGTAGAAATCATTTTTAATGAAAGAGGTTCAAAGGTAAGAGTAAGTCCTGTTTTTCATTCCTTTGTGTTTGAAATTCTTTTCTCTCTAAATTTGTTTATTCATGTTGTAAATTGATATTCTTGATACCAAAATATGATGCGTTACAGCTTGTTATGCATTACCTATTGCATATTTCTTTTTGTATCTGTGCAAGTTATTTTTTAATGAATTATACAGTGAAACATCTTGGTTTGAATACTCCTCAATGGTACACACATAGTCATCCTAAAACTGAACAATCCTGACTTTCTCGGTATACAATATTTTTTTCAACTAATCAGAAGTCAAACTTAAAAGGGAGTTTCACTGTATATGGTAATGCCTCATGTTTTGTAGCAAGTCTTTCAAATATTTTCTTTGAAGTTAGTGATAATTAATTTAATATATTTGAAGGTTTATGAGCCTTGTTATGAGCTTAACTTATTTGAATTAATGCTACAAAAAATTACTTCAACTTTCAAAATTAATGTGGTTTCCAAATTCATGGATGATCATTTTTAACAGGGCTCATATGCTTACATATTCTTCAATTCTGTAATTCATGAATTTCTTGGTACTTTCTGATTCTATAGTATTACATCATTGATTGTTTGTTTTTAAATTACATGATCACTGCCTTGTGAGTAGTGGAAATTTGAAAGATTTGAAGAAAATTAAAATTAAATTTATTTTAGAAGTGGAAGTTAAGTAAAGGTGCCAAGGGTTCAAATTTTGTTATTTTTAAATGATTATGTTTTCTTTGCAAATGAAACTGGCTATAAATAACAGCTCTGTAATTGTTGGAAGGTAATCAAAATTTTTTAACTATTAAAAAAGAATTCCAGAAATGTTTTGGAGCAGTCCTTTCAAAACATTTTCTTTGGGAACATCAATAAATTTTGTATGCTCCATTTTTGGTTCATTTCTGGAAAAGTTCCATGTTTTTTTGTTTGTTTTTTTATTGTTTTTTGTTTTAATATGTTTGAGTCTTGTTTGAGCAGATTCATACATGCTGTCAGTTTCAGTATTTATAAGCAGTGTTATTTTATTGTTTTATATCTGTGATTGTTCAAAGGAAAAGGAAATACTGAAAGCTCCTGTACTGCAACTGTTATTACTATTACCATGACCATTGTTACCACAACTACGTTAACAACTCATAAGGGCTGTGACAATGACTACAGTGATCCTCCCACAATGACTCTTACCATTAGAATTGTCTTCACCATTCCTTTTACCTTCTAGTATCATTACCAAGACCCTTACTGCCACTAGTATCAACTAGAATTTCTGTTACCACTCAAGGTCACTACTATGACTGATACCACTTGATGACTTGCCATTCATACATTCCCCCCTATGACTGTTAGCACAAGTACTGGCACCATGACTACTAATACTATTTTTAATATTACTATTACTACCACAACTACTGTTACTACAACTAACAATACAGTGTCCGCTACTACTTCTACTTCCATCCATTTGTTTCCATTTGACTTGATAGATTGGATTGATCTTTGTTTTAATTCTCTGATTGTTGCTTTCTCGAATGGCGCTTTCCTTGTGACGTACCATATATTTTATATCTTGACTGTTAGCACCATGGGAATATGTACTATTTGATCTGTAATTTGCTGTGAGTTCTTTTTAGTAGTGAGTTTATATGAACAAGATGTATTCTGCAGCTGCTATACAAATTTATATTGAATGGAATCTGCAATTAGTTTCTTGTGAGTCATTATTGACATGCTAACTATTCCTGTAACAGCAAATTGCTGTTGTGCTTTCAACTCAAAAGATTCAGAGCATGGAAGATAAGTCAAAATTAATTCTCTCCTGCTTCGGGGAGAAAAGAAAAAGAAAAAAGGGGGGGAAAAATCTCACTTATGAAATGTTTCATCTATGTTTTTGTGTTTATTGTTGTGTAATACATTCTCCCATTTGGCACAAAGTAATGTTTAACTGTACATAGAAATTGAGTTATTTAAGCATCCCCAAGTTTTGTGGCTTTTCTCACAGCTTTAGCTTTAGACGGATCAATTGAAATCACTAAATATCACTCATTTACACTCTAGGACATATGAGGCAAGCTCATGTCACCCAAAGACATGCCAATCAGTGTTTTTTAGACAAACGTTTTCAAATGTCTGCTCATCTGCTACCAGTTCTTTTTGTGCTTGTCATATGCTTTGAACATACATGAATCAATTTTAATCAATGTTTTATCCCTTAAAATTACTTCTATATGTTGTCAGTGATCTACAAAAAAGTATTTCTTGGTGCCTGTGCAAACTCTTCTTTTCAAATGAGCTGAAAATTTTATATTTATGATGATGATAATACCTATCATAATAATAATAATAATAATAATAATAATACTTTCAATGCAATACTATATATCTGGATGAATTTGGATTTTTCAGATAAAACTTTTTTCACTTGGGCTTTCTTCTACTAAATTTTGTTTTGCAACTTTAAAAATGCAATGTATTTTTATTATCGTTTTGAAAATGACGGGTATCTTATTTTCCTCTCGCATGAAGATCTTTAGCATGGAACAGTTGAACACTTTGTCTGTATCATGTATATTTTGAATATCAAGTTAGGACTACTTAAATTTCTTAACATTTCATAGAAAATTCCAGAAATAACACTGATTTCAAATGAAGTACACTAGTTCGTGCATATGACAATCACTCTTATTTGTATTACCCTTTTTAAAAATTGATTTTTGACACAAAATAAAAATTTTTATTTTCGTTTAGTTTGTCTTACAGCAGTGTTGCTTAGATTCAGGATCCCATTTGGAACCAACTGAGCAGACTTTTTGGAAGCACTTATTAAACTGCTGTGTTGGTTAGCAGTGTGTTGCACCTATGAAAGCAGTTTTTGATGATCTGCACATGTTTTCTCTCTAGTACGGCTGCATGTGTATCTCTGTGCTAGTTGAGCTGCGTTTTGCCTGCCCCAGTGAATTTTGTGGAGTTTGAAGTTGTGAAGTCACTGTGATTTAGGATATTAGTGTAACATGAGCTCGCCTTTGCGCCTCGTGTGACTTTTAGACTGCTCTTCGTCTCCTTTATTATAATTGATGAGTCTTTCTTTTTTTTCTCGATAATTGTATTAAGGCCTTAAAAGCAAGAGAAAAACACATACACAGACTAGGATGTTCTTCTTCTACTGTTAGTACAATTGCAGTTCCAGGTTCTATATTTTACTTGGAACATTTTGCTACATGTATAGGGTGTATGAACAAAAATCTCCTCCCCACTCCTGTAATAATTTATTTTATTATTTTCTCCTATCCTTAAAGTTTTAGAATGGTAGACGGTGAGCAGTTTGGTTTGTTTCTAAACTAGTTTTTGTGTAACCATTCATGAGTTTAGCTGCACACTAACTTGCCATAAAAATGCCATTGATACTGTGCTTTTTTACCACGGCAAGGGAATGTTGTACTGCTGTGTAATCCTCTTTCTCTCTATTGTGTTGCAAGGTGGTGATAATGCCTTGTGTGTTGATGACATTCCAATTAAATTCTAGCTTTTTGCACAGTTGGGGATCATATATATTTGTTGAAGCATGCAAATGCATAGTGTGTAATTGCTATATGTAATTTGTACAATAGTCAGTGAGTAATGAGAAACAAACCTTTTTGGATATGTTGCCCTCTTCTGGAGAAGCTATGTATAAATGTCTTGTTTGTGGCCTTAATAAATTATCAAATGTCCTGACTTCACAAAATTAAGTAAAAAATGACATGCAAAGAGATGTAAGTGAAGACTTCCCGAGTAGTAGTGGACGGTCTTGTTTCTAGCTTCCCGTTTGTATAAAGTCATTCAGAAGTACTTGGTAATCCTTTGTGATGGTTGGTTTGCCTGTATTGGCATGACTCAGGATTGGCTTGGCCTCTCTCTATTTGGACGACCATTACTGTGTACTGTCCACCTGTTCACCTGCTATCCTTGTACCTTTCAGCTGGCAGAACATACATGGCCAGTTGGATTAATTGTTGGCAAGTGTCCATTGTTCTTTTGTGGTGGTTCTCCCATGAAGTAGTCATATTGCAGTTAAATGGTAAAATGTAGGAATCGAGCTTTCAAAGGGACGCGAGAACTAGCCCTAAATCACAAGTACAGAGTTGTTTATATTGCTATATAATACAAATGAAATGTTTTGTATGAAGTGTTCTTTCATAGATAAACTTAAGTTTCTACAAGCACCATATTTTGGTAATACCAGTGTGTACAGTTTCATGATAGTTTGTCTTTTGGAAGATATATTATTTATACAGTGCTGTGCATTTAATTTCCAAAAATATTCTGAGAAATAATCTGTCGTTAAAAATAAATTTCTTCATGGCCGCACCATAATGCTGTGCTAGATGTGTTGAGAGCCAAAATAAAAATAACTTGCTCTTAATGAATCTGGTGAAATAGTTTGACAATTATTGTGACACTTGCCACGTTTCCAAACCTTTGCCTTATTCTTGGTACCTATGCTTCAGTTCCCTTAGTATTGTGTGTAATGTGACTGCTA